TGGTAGACTACAAAGTCTACGAGCTACAGCAGCACCGCCACCTCCGCTGCTGCAGGACGCCACATTCTGTGAGCGAAGTGGGTGTCCCGAAGTAGTCCCTTTCAAGATATGCCTCTTGCTTTTTTTACGGTCATACGTGCCTTCCATGCCCATGCATCGGTGACGTTATCAGGCACCACGAGCACGTGAACACGAGAATCACGTTACAACCTGTCCAGGGTCAAGACGCCCCCGTCAGGAGGCACCGTCGGAGGCCTTTCTGGTGGTCTTGCTTGACCTTGGGCTCTGGAGGCGTCGGAGGGATTTCAGTTGCCGGAGCAGCTGCCTTCACTCCACCATTCGTTCGTGGTTCTGGGGCCCACGGGGGATCAGCGAGAAGTGGAAATGTTGGCACCCCCGCGAAGCACTACCCACAACAGTTTTGGTCGGAAAGGGAACCCAAAAAATGTACCGTGCCAGGGCTTGCCCCATGTGACTGTGAAATCGTCGCAGCGAAATGCAGTAAGGAAATCTAGCGGGGGGTGCAAGTGCGAATCGGCAAAGTAGCAGACCAGAGTTGCTATTTTTTTTACATCCTTTAACGGCGACGATGCCGGCGATAGACCGAACCGACAACCGACGTGTGGGGGGACTAGACAAACGGGATCACGCGTAGATATATTCGATCCGAGGACCCGAGTGCAGCTGGGGAGAACAGGACGAGTATGACAGAACGTTTTGCGAGATGCGTGGGGGGTCGGATGTGATGGAGGTGGCAGGAATACTTCAATTTTTTGTTGGACCCCCTTCGTACAGCTGCCCGTCGTGATGTCTGTCTTAATTACTGGTGATCTTTGATTTCTTTGTTTAAGTATGTTTGGCATCGCGTGCCGAGCGGAAGAGATGAGCTTTGGACCATGCGTTTATTTGTATATCTCCTTTATTCCCGTTTGCCGTTTGGTCACCTGCGATGGCCGACTAGTGTTTGCCTGGGAGGTTTTGATGTCTTCACGCTTTATTGTTTGCTCTTTTATTTTCGCTGTTTTTTTTTTTGTGATTTCAGGGACCCCTTGTTTTCCTGTTTTCGGCGATTGAGAATTGTGCACCCTCTCGGGGCAGTCGGCTTGTGACCACGGAAGGCGTCCGCGTCACGTGGAACTGGTATGGATGGTAGATGGCATCGGGGGGGTGGTTTATAACGCGAAGAGCAAAAACAACCTCAACAAGTCTCTTGCCAGGCAGGCGTGAATGCTCTTCGAAATTGTATCTCAAACGCCCGGAAATGAACCCAGAGAGATGCCCACAGCAAGTTCTATGCCCTCCGACAAGGTCGGGCAGCCCAGCTGTTGATTTTGCCACCCAATCGTCGACGGAATAGCGCCATAAAAGCGCCCTGCTGAGGCAAAACATCGCGCGCTTCGCGCGCTGAAACGCCTCATTCCCATTTTTTTGCACTTCGCGCCAAGAACCATTTTTTTTGCTGGGCCAGGCAAGAACATGGACCATGGTTGTGCGGCCGAACCCTGTCAGCAGATACCATTAGCTTCAGACCCAATGCCGCCCTTGGGATAGAATTGTTGAGATCTGTCTCTCCATCGGTCATTGGCCCCTTGCCGAGAGTGGAGGAGGATCGACTCTCTTTCCTCTACCTTCCGCTGGTCACTCTTCTCTACCTCTCTCCTCGTTACATCTTCAGAAAAGGGAACAGCCACCCTTGGCACGGGGAGAATGGCACCGACTCCTGTCACTAACGGAAGCCTGTGTCCTCACACCTGGGATGTTGAATTCTTTCTTTTCCCCGGAAATCCTCGGAACATGTGATGTCTGCTTCGAAGTCGGAGCACGCGTTTGTACAAGCACCGACGCGGGCTGTTGGGTGCTTGTGTCTCTTGGATGTTAAATATGTATTAGTTGTTCTTGGGGTTTCGGACGCTGAGTGGAGCGTCCGTGGCACAGCGCGGAGATGATTGCTACCGCCCGCGATTTTTCTCGGGGAACAATAACACCAGAGAGGTTTTTCCGTCCCTCTACTTTCTTTAGGTCTTCTTGCCTGCACGCAGGCGAACTTCAGCCCAATCTCACGTGTGTGCCATTGCTTCCAACCATCGTATCAGAAATCCAGAGCCAAATTTATCTCGGCAACGCAAACTGCAAGAGAAATAATTATGATTTCCGGGCAAGTGCACGGAACATGGAATATCCCAGTCTACAGCAGTAATCGGTTCTTCAGGTTTTGGTCAATAAACACGTGGCTCCAGCTCAGAAAGTCTCGCACATATCGAATGGAATATATTCAGCAAGCATGATGACTAGAATTTTGCGTTTCCACAGTATNGGCGACCTATCGTTCGGCACGTTCAACGTACGCACGCTCGCCTACAGCGGTAGGAACCCCATCGGTCACAACGTGATGACGGTCATGCAGATTTGTTCGGCGACCGGCTGTGATGTGATACGACTTCAGGAGACCCGACGCGAGGGGCAAGGTTCAATTGCACACGACGGGTACGTGATCATCTGGAGTGGCGCCCGTGCTGGCACCAAGGACAAGAAGGGCGTACACCGTGTGGGCATAGCGATCAAGGAGGCCATGTGGGAGAGTGTGGGCGAGGAAGGTAGGACGGTGGAGTGCATTAGCCCGAGGCTGATGAAGGTGCGTCTACAGATTGGCCGCACCTGCGGAGTAACTTTCGTGGTGGGGTACGCCCCCACGGAAACTGTCCGCACCACCGCGGGCGGTGATGTTAACGCCAAGGACTCCTTCTCGACTGCTCTCGACGCAGCGATCCGGGAGGTTCACAGCCGTGACCATCTCGTGGTGCTAATGGACGCCAACGCACGAACTGGTAGGTGGCGAGACGGGTGCTGCGATGCCAAGATTATGGGCGCGTACGGACGCGACATTATGAACAACAACGGGGAACGACTCCTTTGACTGGCATCAGACAACCAACTCTCTCTGACCAACACCTACTTCGGGACACCGAAAGGTGGAGTGCAGCACACATTCCAGAGCTCCAACAAGGGGAAGGAGAAGTACCGCCTCGACTTCATCCTCATGCGTCAGACGGACCGGCGTTTCGTGCGTAATGTCTCCGTCAAACGTATCGACTTCAAAGACTCTGACCACAACCTCGTGCTTACGACTGTCCGCCTTCCCCCCCCGTGTCGCACCCAATAGACGAGTGCGGGGGAACAGCGGAAACAGCCGGATCCGTATCGACCTCGAGCGGTTGAGGAAGGACAAACACGGGTCGCCATCCAAAACAGTGCCTCCAGCCGCCCTCCGCCTGTTCGTGATAGGTGCTGCTGTATGTGTAGACAGAGTGCCGTAGAATATCTACGTTGATTGGACGGCTTGAATCACGGGACTGCGTCGTCCTGGATCGTTGAACGGCCACACAATTGGGAACAGTAGAACGTTCTTGGTGNAGAATATCTACGTTGATTGGACGGTTTGAATCACGGGACTGTGTCGTCCTGGATCGTTGAACGGCCACACAATTAGGAACAGTAGAACGTTCTTGGTAGACTGTAGGAATGTTCTTCTGTGGACTGTGCATTACTCCGAGTATTCGTTGGGGGTATGCTAGCTGTTCTGAGAATTGTGTTCTGATTTTATGCGTTGACCGAGGGACATGGCTGGTGGTGCTGAGGTGCTTGCCACTCTCGCCCACCACGCCCACTCTATCTGCTACCCTGTCTCTCGAGCCATGGTCTCATAATACAACATATTTTCCCCAGAAGCCACGAGTTTGCAACACGCTATAGCGTAGAGCGCCGGTCTTCTCCTGCGTCCCCGAGGATTGTACAAGAAGACTGCTGCGGGAGAGGTCTGATCAACCTGTCACGCTATTGGTTTCTGGGGATCCTCCAGGTGACCCGCCGGCGGGTGGTTCACAGGATGTTGGTGAGAAGATCATTTCATTAGAGACGCAGTTGTCTCAACTCACGGCTTTAGTCGAGTCGCTTGTTGAGCAACAGGGAGTTCTGGTGGAGTCCTCTGTTGAGTAGCTGCTGCGCCGGGAAGCGGCGGAACAGAGTAAGCTAGTGAGCATCAATTGGATGCCACTTAGGAGCGACTGCGGGAGGTACTGGCAGCAGTGCCCAGGCCTTTGCATGTCCAACGTGTGGGTTGGGAGTAGTAGTCGTACAGACTCAGGCTTGAACCTCTTTTCTCCAAGCGCAGAGTTTGATGGTGAGTCATGGAATTACCTTGGTGTCTGAAAGTGTGAAATTACTGCTTTCGAATAACATGTCCCTATTCAGAATTTCGATCGCGTGCTTAATTTCGACTGGGTACCGAGTAGACCGGTAAAATGCATGCTTGTACGTGATGTTCGATATCGAAGGCATTCAAGAGAGGAGTTGCTCATGAAACAAAAATGCACATCAGGCAAAAAGTTGGGCAGAGTTTTTGTTGACCTGGGAGGGAGGAAGGACGTTGCGTCCGTAGGGGGTAAACATTACCCCATGGTCGTGAAGGATGACTTCACGAGACGTACATGGTTGTATTTCCTGAAAAATAAATCAGACACTGGGAGGGCTTTCCGAAGTTCCTTGTTGGTGTGCGTGCTGATGGAATCCCATCTTTGGTTGAGATAGTTAGATCTGACAATGGGGGGGAGTGTTTCGGAGGGGATTTTACTTCCGTGTGCAACGAGCTCTTGATTAAGCAAGAGTTCACCCCGGCTTACAGTCCCCAGTACAACGGTGTTGCCGAGCGTGGTTTGGGATTGATCGAGGCTGCGGCAATGGCAGCTCGTATCNCCGACAGTAAGTCACCATATGAAATGTGGCATGGTGAAGCTAGTCATGCTAGACCGTATCCGTTTTTGAAACCGGCTTACTGTAGGTGGCAGAGCCCGTCTAAACTGCTACCGAGGGGTGAGGCTTGCTGTCATGTCGGTCCTTCGAGAGACCACCCGCGTGACTGTCAAAAAGTACTTACGAGGGTTGGAACTATTCAGGAAACGAGGAATGTGACATGGGAGGCGTTGCCGTCACAACTCCCTCCGCTGCAACCGTCTCTCTTGCTGATAGAGGTAGCAGAGGAGGGAGGGGAGGAACGTGACGACGATGTAGAAGTCGAGGTATGGCCGCTTGTAGGGAGAGGAGTTCCCCACATTCTTTTGCGACGTGATGTAGCGGTATCTCGTGGAATAATTGATGAGGTTAGTAGTGTTGATGCAGGCAGTGTAGGCCAGCCCTCCTCTGTGCCATCTTCGCCCGCGAACAACTTACCTAGTTGTGCGTCTCCCTATGCGTGTTCTCCAGCAGCCGAGTTCACGGATGAGGGAGGGCCGGAAACAGGGGAGGTAGAATCGGCGGGTCCGGGAGGGCAGGAGGTACAGTAGAGTCGGAGGATCAGGAAGGTTTGGATCAAGAGTTGGTTGAGCTTGCTAGTTACAATCCTGCTGTGAGTGAGAATGATGAAGTAAGAACAGGCAGAACCCGGGCGCAAACCCAGGCAGTAAATCAGCAAAGCGTATCCGGCCTCATGGCCACTCTAGGACCCATCTCCGCATCAGAAATAGGAGAGGAGCTCTTGGTGGAACAGAGAGCATCTGATGAAATGGAATTGCCAAAAGTGTTCATTCAGGACGTAAGAGCCAGAATCTGGTAGCAATTAAGAAGCCCGCCGGTCGAAGTACGCCACGATTTGGGACAAGGCCACGTCTGTCTGCAGAGTTTGAAGGATTGCTAAGGGCAGGAACGTTCGCGTTAGCAGTAAAGGCTCTGATAGGCTGTAACGTGATAGATGCTAGATGGATCTACAAATGGAAAGCAGATGAAATAAGTAAGATAAGAAGGCCAAGGCTAGGCTTGTAGCGAAGGGCTTCAAGCAGAAGCATGGTGTGGATTATCTTGAGACTTTCTCGCCTACTGCAAATGCTGCATCGATTCGTTTGTTGGTAGCATTGGCGTGCAAGTGTAGTTTGGAAGTTCTCCACTTTGATATTGAGCAAGTGTTTGTTCAATCGGAATTGGATCACGAGGTGTTCATGAAGTTGCCTCCTGGCTGCGAGTTGATGTCAGGAAAGGTCGTCCGTGTAGACAAGAGTTTGTATGGACTGAGGCAGGCATGTAGAACATTTCACAAGAGACTTGTGTTGGACCTGAAGAGGATCGGTTTCGAACAGTCTCGAACAGTCTTTGTCTGACCCCTTGCGTTCTTCGTTTTATGATGGGAGACGAGGTGATTGGTATGATTCCGATTCATGTGGATGACATTCGGTATGCAGAAACCTGAGAGGCTCGCCAAGATGGTTGCGGAACCGCTAGGTGACTCTCTTCCCACGAAGAATTTGCGTGAGGTCAAGTTCTTTGGTTTGTTGCGGATTCATTCGCGACCGCGAGGCTGGCACAACTGAGATTTCTCAAGAGAGTTACATCAGGAGTGTTGTCGAGAGATGCAATATTTTGTCGCACCAGCTCGATCCCTGCTTCCCCTGTTAGTGATTACAGGTCCGTGATGGAGGATGAGGCGGCAGGGGATGTGCCGTTCCGAGAGGTGGTGGGGAGCCTGATGTGGATCGCCAACCAGACGAGGCCCGACATCTCAAATGCTGTGCGGGTGGTGGCGAGGCGCTCTCACGAGCCAAAGAAAATCCACTGACTGGAAGGCGGCTCAGAAGATTCTAAATTATCTTCTGGAGACGGCACATCTAACTTTGAAGTACAAGCAGGACACTATGGTAGACGTAGGCACGTTGGTGTACGTAGACGCTGGTTTTGCTAGCAAGGCCACTGACCGTAGATTAGTTTCGGCAGCACTAGTTCTTGTAGCTGACTGTCTTGTTGCTTGGATTTCTAGGACGCAGAAATGTGTCACACTGTCAAAGACTGAAGCAGAGTATGTTGCGATGGGTGATGGTGTAAAAGAGGCTCGGTTTGTCAATGGAATGCTAGAGTTTTTGAGGCCTAGTGAGAAACTTGGTAACATTCAAGTACGCGAAGACAACGAGGGTGCGACTGCACTTGCTGAAAATCCACATAGTTCGGGTAACAGTAAGCACATTGACGTAAGGCATCATTTCTTTAGGATTTTGACAGAAGAGGGAGTGTTGGCAATCAGTCATGTCTCCAGTGAAGGACAGCATGCAGACATCCTGACTTTTGCTCTAGGTTCGAGATCTAAGTAGATTTCTGAGTCTTGTTTTTGTTTTTGTTCTTGTTTTTCTGATATATCTTTGATCTGGTCGAGACAACAGCCCCGAGACAACAGCCCCAAGGGAGGGTGTTCGTGATAGGTGCTGCTGTATGTGTAGACAGAGGGCCGTAGAATATCTACGTTGATTGGACGGCTTGAATCCCGGGACTGTGTCGTCCTGGATAGTTGAACGGCCACACAATTAGGAACAGTAGAACGTTCTTGTAGGAATGTTCTTCTGTGGACTGTGCATTACTCCGAGTATTCGTTGGGGGTATGCTAGCTGTTCTGAGAGTTGTGTTCTGATTTTATGCATTGACCGAGGGACATGGCTGGTGGTGCTGAGGTGCTTGCCACTCTCGCCCACCACGCCCACTCCATCTGCTACCCTGTCTCTCGAGCAATGGCCTCATGATACAACATGTTTTCCCCAGAAGCCACGAGTTTGCAACACCGCCCACGGCGCTCAGGCGGCCAACGGGAGAGACCGCCGCCGAGCTGACGGCTACGGTGATGTCGGCCGCTGCTGAGACCACGCCGCTGGCGAGGTGCGCGCGAGGGCAGAGAGGCTGGTACACGAGCGAAGCGCAGCACGAGATCTCCGAAGCGTCTAAGGAGATTAAGGCGGCCAAGCAGCAACTGCGTGGGGCCTCAAAGAACAGCGCCTTCGAGGCGACCCTGAAGGCGATGCTCAAGGCGGCGCGGAAGAAGCGCAGCATCGCGAGGTGGAGAGCACTGGAACGTTCTTCGAGGGCTATGTACGGCAGCTCGAAAAGCAGGGCCTATTCGATATACTCGTAGCATAGCATGGGGGTGGTGTATTGCGTATACATATGCGGGATTCGCAGTGACGAACTACGGAGGAACAAGAAGGTTCTTTGTGTATTCCTGGGGAGTGTGGTAGATTGGTGGACATTCATTGAGATTCGTTTTGGGTGTTTGAGCGTTATGCGTGACTTGATGCCGTGATGGAATGACGAGCTCAAAGCACGCCCCCGATAAATACAACACGTTTTTCAACACGTCTGCACGTCTTTACCTACTCCTACGGCTCGTCATGGCCGAGCTGCTCTACACTCCCATCACACACAACTGAGCCACCNATAAGGCGGCAACAAGACGAGGAGGAGCAGAGGACAGAGAACGTCCGGACCGGAAGCGAGCACGAGGCACGCCACCAGCAACAAGCGGGGCGGCCATCGGCGAACCCGGCCGTAGATGACATCGCCCGCACTCTCGCAGACGCCATGTCCAGCCGAATGCAGACATCACCACGGGACAGCGGTAGAGTACCCAGTACAGGAGGAAGTATTCGCATGACAGAGGTTGAGCGCCTAGCGCCTTGGGATGGGGTTTTTAGGCAAGGGGAAGATGAGCAGGCAAGATTTTTTGTTTTTCGATCGAACATGATTGCTATGTTTGCGCAAGAAGGAGTCAGGGAAGTGGTATTGAGTGACCACAGAATTCCAGTCGGGCTCGAAGGAATAGACATGGAGGACTTGCGTAGGATGCACTCGCCTGATAGCGTAGAGAAGGCAACTACGGCGTGGAACCCGCTGATCACGTCTGTAACATACATTCCCATCCTCACCCAGATCATCGCTGATGGTAGTCCAAGTGGAGGTTGGAAAAAATTCCTCAAGTATTACGAGCCGCGTGCCAGAGCCGAGAAGGAAAGGTTGTCATCCCAATACCACGGTCTTGAGATGAAAGTAGGAGAGACCCCCCAAGAATACTTCGGGAGATTTGCTGTTTTGCGCAGTAGGCTAGCCTCGCACGGTGTTACTTTCTCCGACGAAGATGCCAATGCCCACATGGTGTACCACCTTTCCGACGAGTACACGATGGAAAAGAAAATTCTGACTATGTCACCGATTCCCCCCTCGCGCGAAAAAATCGAAAAGGGTGTACGAGATGCCCATGCGGAATTGCTTCGCCGTCGGGAGGAGGAACNCACTCAACGCGACCGTCAGAAGAAACAGCAGCATCAGCAACAGCAGCCTCAACAGCAGCATCCCCAGCAACAGCAACTTCATGGACCGCCGC